ATGATACCTGACGGTTGAGATGTTACAGCAGATATCTAAGTAGCCCAATTATGGATCACTGGAAAGCGGTCAAATGGGTTTTGAGATATCTATAGAGAACAAAAGGCTATATTCACAAACTATAGGAAATCATATGTTTTGGAGATCATTTGTATTAGGAATCTGATTTTATTATCGATGCCGAAATGGTTACCGATCCATATCGGGATACTATAACATGTTAGCATGATGAACCATTTCAAGGAATAGACTTCAATACCTTCTTCCATAATGGCAACATAAGTTGTAGCATGTTATGATGCATCAAATCATGGAATATGGTTGCGGAAATTTGTGACGAGGCTGCATATTATTGGTATTGAAAGACTACTAAAGTTGTGACAATAAGTTAGCAATATAATATTCCAACAACAACAGGAGTTCTACTAAGTCAAATCATACAGACATCAAGTTTCTGAATGTTAAAATGAAAAGTGCAAATATCAAATATTTATATAACAAATCTAGAAAAACTCCATGATAGCGGATCCACTCAAGAAGGGATTACATCCCAAGGTCTTTCATGAGCATACTACACACGGTGTGTTATTTTGTTTTATTGGTCTTTTATGTTTTGTCTAGGAATGATTATGTTTTTCTGTTCACAATAAGAGAATTCGGTTAATTCCATTCTTAGTTGCACTTATTTGAAGTTTGATCTCACTTCAAGCTAAAGAGAAACTCGTTGGAAATCTATTTTTATTTTCAAATCACATATCATGTTTAATCTATGTCGTTAGTTATATATGTATATGTGATCATTGATGGGTTCAATTACGTAAACTGTAACGAAGATTGCTTAGATCCTATACTTTTATAATTAGTGGACAAGATTTTTTAAGAGTACAAAAATTATGATAACATACATTAAAGCTCTTATACTGTTATATCTACATTTAGGTATTCGTGGTCCAGTGGAAGATTGTTATATATTTTGGGACCAGGTTATATATACATTTAGATACTCATGGTCCAGTGGAAGATTGTTAGATATTTTAGGACTACTAATAAATGTATATACATAATGTTATCATTAAATTATAATTTATTAAGGAACTTATTTAAAATTGTTGATGGACCGATTTTATCAATAAATAATGATAAATACTTACTATGTTTATTTTGTGTGTTGAGTTCCCAGTTTGATTTAAGATCTCATAAATTTCCAATATCTTTCACATTTGGTTATATCTTCATCTATATAAATATGTGATGAGAAACAGATCCATAATACGAATTACATACACAAAATTCATAAGTCTTATTGCCGAGAGATTTAGAAAGAGTTCTTGAGATCAATTGGAAAACTCATCCTAGTCTACAGATCCGAAAATCTTAATGGATGCAGGTATGTAGTCGTTATTTCATGTTTAAGTTTTCTTTTAACTCGATTCAAGATTAAAGATCTAAAGTTTAAGCTTGTAAGTTTATGTTGGTTATCAAATAAGCAACACAATCTTCTTTTATTCTTACGTGTCGATGAAATTTATAAAGATTAACAATATTAGTATGAAATTTATAGAAAATATTTTTTTTGTTATCCAACGTGTCCTCCTAAAATGTCCGTAAACATATAGAAATTTTGTTAACAAACATATGTTTCTTTTTTGGTTGATCACCGGTGTCCTTATTGTTTTTTCATATGTGTCCATATGAAAATTCTCATATAATCACCACCACGGGTACGTACCCTTGATTATAATATAGCCTCACCTCTATCCACCGCTCCGCTGCGAGTGAGGGGTGCAAGCCAGCTGTACCGTATTGGAAGAGGCACAGCTCGAGGCGGGTCCCCTCGGTCCGCTTATCAGTTTGCAAGTTTGGATATGGATTTGTTAGCGGGATTCAACATGCATGGCAACCGCCGATGGGGTATATGTAATTTCAGAGTTGATCGGTGGTTCTCCTATGATATTCTTCCAGGATTCAATGATAATTTGGGTTTTTCATGCAATGAAGAAGGGGATCTCACTGCTTGCTGGGTGTGGGGGAAGGGAAAGAAGGGAACACAGCTAAAAAGACAAACTCTCTCTCTCTCTCGCTCTCTCTCCTCTCTCTCTCTCTCTCTAGCTCTCTCTCTCTCTCTCTCTCTCTCTCTCTCTCTCTCTCTCTCTCTCTCTCTCTCTCTCACATACACACGCATGCACAGAAACTCAACAGAAATTCTGTTGCTTATAATAACCATCAGAAATGGTGTTCATAGAGAATTGGCGTAAATACATTTTCATTGAGGAAGAAAATGTATCCGCTAACAAGTGGTAGTAGCCACTCTAAAGATCCACATTTAAAGCCGTGTAATACTCAGTCTTCTCCTAATTGGAGTGAAACATGGAGGCATTTCAGTTGTATCAAAGGCAACACATACTCGATATTTCTGCATATATATACGCTACCCAAACTAAAGTTCAAAATTTCATCAAGTTGGAGAACTAAAGACAGAGAGAACAGCAAATCAATGGGAAGATCCAAAATATTTCATTTCTTAATCTTCTTCTGTATATGTCTTGTCACCATAGCCCTTCCTCAACCTGATCAAAATGAAAGAAAGGTATACTAAATTTCAACACCCTAAAACCCTTTCCGTTTCTTTATTCAGACATATCCATCCGACTGCATGCACTGATTCTTAAGTTTTCAAGCAAGTCACAGCCACTAAAGAAACATTCTTCATTACATCGTGCTTTTGATTTTTTTGTTATCTATATTGGAAAAATGCATGAACTTGATGCGTTGTGTTGTCATAATTCATAATTCATAAATGTTGTTGTAGCCATACATTGTATACATGGGAGCTTCTCCTGTAAAGAGGACAATGACATCTATCGTTGATCATCACCATAGTCTTCTTTCAGAGACCATTGGAGAGTAAGTGCCTAGTTATTATTATTAACTACAAGTATTTTTGTTACAACTTTTGTTTATCAAATTCTCGTTTTAATTTGCAGTGAAATATTAGCAAGAGATTCCAAGTTGCATAGTTATGGAAGGAGCTTTAATGGATTTGTGGCAAATCTACTACCTCATGAAGCAAATCAACTCTCACGTAAATCACTCATCACAATCAAAAGCAATATGCATGCCTCTTATAGAGAAGATTGTAAATATTGTCTTAATTTTCTAAGGGTTTTGATTGTGTTTCAGAGAAAGAAGGAGTCTTATCAGTGTTCCCAAACACCATACGACCGCTTCACACAACCAGATCATGGGATTTTATCGGATTGCCACTGAGGAGTACACAAAGAAACATAACAGCCGAAAGCGATCTAATTATTGGCGTTCTTGATACAGGTGATGATTCTTTGTAATAAAAAAAATCCTTTATATGATGGATGGATATAAAGGATTCTTGATTGAGTGACTTATTTTATTGATCAGGGATTTGGCCGGAATCCCCTAGCTTCAATGACAAAGGTTACGGTCCTCCTCCTACAAAATGGAGGGGTAAATGCTTCTTGGGTGGCAATTTTACTGGTTGCAACAAGTATAACTTCTTTCACTCCTTCTATTATTATTATTATAATTAACACCTATACTTTGTTTTTTCTCTTGCGATATTGTACTTATTTTTTTCTTACTTATTAGGTATTATAATTTTAAATAAATTTACTATCCTTTCATTTTCCTTTTCTCTTATTAGGATATTATACTTGCTAATAAATTTACCAAACTACTATAATGATGTTATTGGGGGTTTTGAGATTGCTTATTTAAAAATGATTATTCATTAATTTTTTTATCAATTATCATTTGTATAGTTGTAGTTTTTAAGATTTTGGACGGACTGAACTAAAAAGGTAACTTATTAATTTAAATAAGCTGTTTGTGATAATTTAATTGTTTTCTTTTAACTTAATTGAAAATGTTAATAAATTATTTGAAAATGCTTGTTATAAAAATGCAAACCAATTAACCATTTTATTATTGTTTTAACAATACAAAAGAATATGGATCTTACATCTTCTAAATCTATAAACAAATTTTGCTAAACTATGGAATTTTTTTTTACCATTGTGACTATATTAATTAATCAATACATTTTTTTGTCTAAACCCCATTTTGCTTTTAATTTCATAAATTATAATACTATAATAAAAATTTGAAATAAAATTCTGTAAAGCAAAATAAACAAAAATAAATTGTTATTTTTAAGTTTGAACATATATATAACCTTCATTTTAACTTGTATGTATATTTTTTTTTTGGAAAATTCAACAGTAAATTGATAGGCGCACAATATTCCTACATCGCAAGTAAGCACGACCCGAAACTATCACCGGTGGATAACGAAGGACATGGAACGCACACAGCTTCCACGGCGGCGGGTGTTCCGGTGAGGGGTGCAAGCGTGTACGGTATTGCGAGAGGCACAGCTCGAGGTGGGGTGCCCTCGGCTCGCATAGCAGCTTACAAAGTATGTTGGGGCGGTGGTTGTTCGGATATGGATCTGTTAGCCGGATTCGACATGGCAATCGCCGATGGGGTGGATGTAATTTCAGTGTCCATTGGTGGATCACCTAAGAAATTCTTCCAGGATTCAATGGCGATTGGGGCTTTTCACGCAATGAAGAAGGGGATCTTCACCGCTTGCTCCGGTGGTAACGACGGTCCATATCAGCTCACAGTACAAAACACAGCGCCGTGGATAACAACCGTAGCTGCTTCAAGTACCGATCGGCAGTTTGTGGCTGATGTTAAGTTGGGAAACGGTGAAAACATCATGGTTACTCTCTCTCTCTCTCTCTCTCTCTCTCTCTCTCTCTCTCTCCCTCTCCCTCTCACACACACACACACAGAGAAATTCAACAGAAATGCTACTATTGCTTATAATAACATTCGGAAATTGTGTTTATAGGGAATTTCTGTAAATACATTTTCATTGAGGAAGAAGATGTATCCGTTAATAAGTGGTACCCTTGCAGCCAACACCACCGAATCATACAGAAACGCAAGGTATGTGCATTTTGTTTTGGGCTAAATGCTCGAAATAACAACAACGTACTTTCCTATATTTATGTACTTAAATTTCTTTCTATTATAATACTGTTATTTCAAAAAAAAATAATAATAAATAAAAATCTTATTGAGCCCTTGTGATTTGAAAAATATACTCAATTATAGCATTTTAGTTTCAACTTTTCCTTATTACCACATTATACATCGAATACAATGCTATTATAGAAAAAAAAATCTAAGTAGAATGTTTGTGGATTGCATGAATGATTATGTACTTATGTTTGAAATATCGGAACATTTGTAGTGCTTGCGACTATGGATCTTTATCAGATGAGATGATAAAGGGTAAAATCGTCTTTTGTTTGGGGAAAGGCGAGCAAGATCACACACTTTATGACAAACATGTGGCGGGATTAATTGTGTCCCGAGAGACACATTACGATACACCTTCTTCTTTTGTGATCCCTGGAACTTCAGTAAATCTCATGGAGGGCAAAAATATTGATTCCTACATCAACTCCACCACGTAAGAAATATCAACATACTTTCATTTATTTATTTATTTATTAATAACATCTTACTTTCATTTCTTTATGTTATAGCATCGTACCTTCATTTTTTTACAATGACAATATGCTTTTAAAATTTATAAATCACAGAATGTCGGTTGCAATAATACAAAAATCAAGAGCCATTAAGATTGCTGATGCACCATTCATTGCATCTTTCTCTTCAAGAGGACCACAAGTGATAACTCCCAACATTCTTAAGGTATTTCTCCCTCTCTTTCTCTCTCTCTCTCTTTCTCTAAAACTACAATGTTGTAATCACAAATAATAAATATGTACACAGCCTGATATTGCTGCACCTGGATTGGGGATATTGGCTGCATATTCAAGACTAGCAAGCATGACAGGTGATAGAAATTATGACAGACGATATGTGGATTTCAAGATAGCTTCCGGAACATCAATGGCGGCTCCTCATGTGGCGGCTGCTGCCGCCTATGTCAAATCATTTCACCCGACTTGGTCCCCTGCTGCAATCAAATCAGCTCTCATGACAACAGCAACACCAATGAAGATGAACAAAGAAGACATGGAATTGGCATATGGATCGGGTCTAATAAACCTTAAAAAAGCAAGAGACCCGGGTCTTGTATACGACATCAACACAAGTGGCTACATTCGATACCTATGTACAGTTGGCTACAACACCACAACTCTTGGCATACTCATTGGTGGAAACCAACAATATGATTGCAAGAATTTTAAACCAACCAAAGGTGCAGATGGACTAAACTACCCCTCGATCCATTTGCAACTTGAAACGAATGTCACCACGTTTTCAGGAGTCTTTAAGCGGATTGTGAAGAATGTAGGGACACATGAATCGACGTATAAAGTGGAAGTGGTGAGTCAACCGGGACTCACGGTTAGGGTTGACCCAAGTACTTTGACTTTTCAAAAATTGAATGAGAAAAAGTCGTTTACGGTTTATGTGGAAGGGTTGTTTCTTCAACCGAAAGTGCATTTGGTGTCGGGAGCGATTGAATGGAAGGATGCTAAGCATTCGGTAGTGAGTCCGGTAGTTGTATATAGGTATTCGCCTCCACTATGGATGGATGAAAAGAAGGTGTAGGGGCTAATTTCACTTTGTTTTTTCTAATTTGGAACAATTTTAAGTGATGAATTTGGGATGTGGTACTTAGTTTTTAGTGTTTAATTTCAGAATGGGTTAAATGCTAGAGATATCAATGTACTTTTATTCGTTTGTTTTCATTATAGCACTTTACTTGACTACATTCATTTGTTTCTATTGTTGAATTGTGTTTTGTAAAATCTACGCGGTTATAGCAAATTAGCAATGTCATCTGAATACAAAGTCAATCTCATTGCTATAATTGTATTGATTTTATAAAGTACTAATGTCTTAATAAGAAAAAGATTGAAACTACAATGCCTCAACAAGAAAAGAAAATCTAAAAGTACAAAGTTGTCATTGAAATAAACTAAAAGTAGGATGCTATAATATACATATCAAAAAAGTGTTTTTGCTATTCCTTGCATTTAACCTTTTGAAAGCTTAGCTTCCCTTGAATGATGCCAGATTTTATGTCCTTATGAACGAGCTTGTATGCACTACAAGAAATATGACTTTCTTTTTTCCGTCTACCGGTTCAAAAGGTTTTTATGACTAGAAAATTTCAGTCACTTCCTAAGTTGATTGGGATCTTAGTATATTTGTTTGTATTATACTTGGTTATCTAACCTATTAATTTTATTGCCATCTACAAAAAAAAAAAAAAAAAAAGACGTGTTAACGTATCATTCAAAGCGATGTTTTGTTTCCAATCTGTAAATACTTAGATGGCTTGTCGAGACAACTCCAACGTACCGCCAAATTGGTGATTTGTCGTGAATTTGCATGAGAATGGACAGACATGCACACCATCATTTTAGTGACATTGTTAACGAACCTGTTAATCAAGCCACAAAAGATATTTAGTATTAGGCAAATTACATAAAAACCAAAAATAATACACAAAACATTTCCAAGACAATAAGGTTTTTCCAAAGTGAATAAAGCTTTTTCTAAAAATAGATTTTATTAAATGCACAAGTTATAGATATAGAAAAAGCATTGTGCATAAAAAGAATAATATAAGAAATCAATTCAACCAAAATATCAAAGTAAGGTTAACGACATAAACTCACATCAAGTCTTCTAAGCACTTCTAAGTGCTCTACTTTTCTTTCGAGAGTTGTATGAAGACCTTTTAACCACCATGGTTCATAATTAAACCATTAATCAAGTACTTATAAAATAAATAAATTCCTAAACCTAGTTTATAACTCATTCCAGTCATGGCATAGCATTACGGAAGTACTAAGGAAATTATGTGAGGGTTTTTGGCTAAAGTAGGCTTAATCTAAAATTACACTCAATTCATGAGAGCACATAGCCCATATGAAATATTGTTTGGCATACACACGACTATTTAATACCTAGGTCATGCCAGTGTTGGGTTTTTATTCAAAAGTAGTTTAAAAAAAACACAAGATTAGCAATGCAAACATTTTAACTTTGAATAACATAAACTAGTTTTATTCGCACCAAAGGATCATCTTGCAAAGATTGGAAAGAAAAATAACCATAGGGGGAAAAAGATTAACAACCTATTTAGTTCTTTAGATCCTCAAGGGAGACTTGAATTTTGATGTAGTGTGCAGAGTATAACTCCTCAGATGGAAACACCAACCATAGCTCAACTTGATGATCATGCTAGTCAAAATCTCTTAAGCTTTAAATCAATCCCAAGAATGACTTAAAGAGAGTGTGAAACAAGTATTTTCTAACACTTTTTTCAAGAGAGAAAGTGAGTGAGTGAGTGTGTGTGATATATATATATATATATATATATATATATATATATATATATTATAGAGAGAGAGAGAGAGAGAGAGAGAGAGAGGAGAGAGTTATGGTTTACACAAGTGCACAAATGAGAGGTATGAAATCCTTCATAAAACCGTTTCATTATCCATCAGTCCTTAACCCCTTAAGCACTTCATGTCTCTAAAGTATATATGTTCCCCATGCTTTGAAGTCATGCTTTCTTTATATTATTATAACCAAAAGACCATGACTAGCATTCTCCATGCTAGTCTACGACATTTATAATAAAAAGAAGCCAAGTTTATAAAAAAAATCTTACAACTTTTTTATAAGATATAAACTTTTATCCATGTAGCTAAAAGACAAAAGTCTTTCTAATCCAAAAAATATACATGACTTAATAAATCATCCCTTATGATATATTATGATACTTGTCATTGAATATTATTATTTTCATAAAATAAATAATTCACAATTAATAATAAGAGTTTTGAATATTTATCAAGTATCTAATTCTTATAAATAATCAATTGCATCAAGTTGTTGTTAGTGTGACCTTTTTGGATCATTTGTTAATTAGTAATATCATTCTAATATGATTCATGAGCATAAAGATCTTTCAATCTCCCACTTGCGAAAGATTCATAATAGATTGATATAGACAGTAATGAACGTTTAACAACATTTCACTGCCACCAATAACATATGACTTTGTGTCATTCTATCAACATGCAATTCCCTAAAAGCTCAAAACTACAATTGGTGTATAAGGTAAGTTATCAGTTATCCCTTTGTCACAGACATTATGTTGAACATGCGATATGGATCACAATCAATCTCATTAAGTGTTTAACTTTTGATAAGGCGCCTTAAATGTCTATGTAACGCCCAGTTCCTGGTATGTATTTAACTCTAAAATTTATTGGTTTTTGTATAGAAACTCGACGAGTTGGAGGCCCCAAACTCGTCGAGTAGGGATGGAAATTGGACGAGGGATGGGAAGTCTACTCGACCAGTTGAGAGCCTCAACTCGACGAGTAGGACTGACAGAATGAAACCCTAATTTTCAGGGTTTTGCACCCTATTTAAACACCTTAACTGTCACACCCCCAAACCTGAACGGCGGAAACATTCGGGGGCGGAGGACGTCATGTACAGTATCATAACAATTGAATAGTAAAGAAGGTACACACCACCATAACATATATTTGAAAAGTTTACATGATTGTTGTATTACATGTTTCAAAAGTCAAATACAATGTGATGTTCCCAAAAGTTATTACTAACGCCTGAGCATTAGTCCCCAAAAGCAGTTGCTAACTTGGTTTAGCGATTTCCTGAGAATACAAGTTATTTCAAAGAAAAAGTGTCAACATTTAAGTTGGTGAGTTCATAAGTATATATTTGTATAAATGTATGCCATTCGAAAGTTTCGTGTTTGTTTTCCAGAAAATCCGATATTTTCTCATAAAAGGAATTATGAATCTTTGTTTGTATAATATGAATGTATTGAACCAGGAAAAACCTATATTTTCCTAATAGTGAGGAGTAGTCTCAAATGTCCAAGACTGTGATTTTGTAAGTAAATATGTCATACTTAAAATAATGATGCATAGTTTTATTAGTAAACAAAACTATAAGAAGTTTGTAATTTCACGTAAAAATAACTGTAATGTTACTTTTCCCGCAAAAACATAATACCATAATAATTGTCTATCCTGTGAGTTTTCATAACCGTACTATGATGGATTTGCCTGCGGCGACGTTCTTCAGGCGTCGAAGTGATATGATATTTGTCACCCCGCGGACTGTAGCTAACAGTCAGGGCGCGGGATCATCAGTCCCGTATAGATCTATACACACTTATCACGTTCTCACAACAGAGACTCTGGTTATAAAACAGGGCTTTCTAGTGGTACCTTGACAGGTATGGTGAAGACGAATGACTCACATATTCTCAATTAAGTCACGTATTTGGAAAAATATATGAATGATTTCTGAAATGATTACCCTTTCTACAGTGTTAACAAAGGCATAATAATGAGTTGTATTTTCTCGTATAAACATGATGTTGTAGTTGAAATGGTTACCCTTGGTATGGTGTAGTATGCAGATATATAAATAAAACATATTTCTATTTATAAAACATATTGTATCCCATGAGGGTAAGGTTGCGGTGTATGATGTTTTGCATGTTAATGACTTCATATGACAGCTATAACAATAGTAAGATAAGTATAGCAAAAGATTGATGTTTTTCACCAGAGTTTAACCGTGTGTTTACTTGTATTCCCCCCCTTAAAAGTGTTTAAAAGCATTTAAAAGTATTTGAAAGTGTAGTAATAGGGGTATGAACTCACTTGGTAGATTGAAGAATGTGAGACAAAGATCGAGCAGAACTTCGAGTGGAGAAAGCTGATTTCTCGGGAATCTCGGGAATCTCGGGAGCGTAAAACTTACTTCGGGACTTGGATATGAAAACCGGGATGTCGGGATGGCTTCGAGGGTTTAAACGCAGAGCATAAGCACGAGAAAGAGAGAATTGAGCAACTAAACCCGGAGCTCCTTGAGTTCTATTTATAGGGCTGATTCAGGCTTCACGTCGTGAACCTGAAGAAGTCCACGTCGTGAAAGTCTCTCCCACGTCGTGAAGCTTGATCTTATCTCTTCCATGGACGCGACGTCTGTTGGCCAGGTCTGGAACCCATCAGTCAAAATCTCACGTCGTGAGCTTCTGGCTCACGTCGTGGGCTGCCTGACAGTCTCGAGTTTCGTGTCCCGAACTTGTAAAATCCATAACTTTCGCGTACGAGCTCCGATTTCGACGTTCTTTATATCACGCGTAGTGAGATTATGCTCTACAATTTCGTTTAGACTCGTCGGCTAATTTTGACTTTATTTTTAATATTGTATTTTCAACAGGCCGGGACTGGAAAAGTCCGTTAAAAATCCATAACTCTTTCATCCGACGTCCGTTTTCGTCTGTCTTTTTACCGTTGCATTACTATTGTTGAGGGTCTTCGATTCTCGTTTAGGTTGCGTTGGCTAAAAGTCGCTCGATCTCTATTTCGAGTTTTTAGCTGTCTACTGTTATGTCTGAAACTTCGAAAAATCATAACTTCCTCATACGAAGTCAGATTTGGACGTTCTTTTTATGTAAGCTTACGGTTTAGTGATATCTACGACTTTCATTTAGATACTTAAGGCTAAAAAGTATTTTATTGAAATTTCGTGTTTTACGCTTAACAGTGTTTTGCCGGTTTTGTTGCGGATTTTCGATTGGTCATAACTTCTTCGTTATAACTCGGATTTTTGTGTTCTTTATATTTTTGAAAACC